ACTAGCCCTCAGGCAGTGGTATAAAAGGTTTGACACTTTTGTTTTGAACCATGATTTTCAAAGAAGCAATTATGATGTTTGCCTCTACTATAAAGGTAAAGGAGGTAAAAGTTCTTTGTACTTAGTTCTCTATGTTGATGACATGTTACTTGCTAGTTGTAATAAATCTGAAATTGATAATATCAAACAGAAGTTGAAATCTGAATTTGAAATGAAGGAACTTGGCTCAGCTAAGAAGATCCTTGGTATGCAGATTTTAAGAAATAAAGATAAAGACATGTTATTTTTGCATCAACATGATTATATGGTAAAACTTCTGGAAAGATTTAGCATGTTTGACTGTAAACTTGTTACTTTACCTCTTTCAAATCATTTTAAACTTTCATCTGAATGTTGTCCTAAAACTGATGAAAATTTTGATAGAATGTCTAAAATTCCATATGCAAATGTTATTGGATCTGTCATGTATCTAATGGTAAGTACAAGACATGACATTGCTCATAGTATTAGTATATTTAGTAGATTTATGAGTAATTCAAGTGAAGAATACTAAAATTCTTTAAAATGGCTTTTAAGATACTTGAAGGTACTTTAAATTTAGGTCTTGTGTTTAAAATGGACAAAAGAGGAATTATGTTAAAGGGGTTTACTGATTCTGATTTTGTTGGGGATAGAGACAACAGAAAATCTACTTCTGCTTATTTCTTAACTCTATGTGATACTGCTATAAGCTGGAAATCACAATTACAGAAGGTTGTTGCTCTATCATCAACTGAAACGGAATACATTGCTGCTTCTGATGCTGTTAGAGAAGGGATTTGGCTAAGTAGATTGTTAAATGAACTTGGCTTTGTTGATGAAAATGCAATCCTATATTCTAATAATAAAAGTGTCGTACATTTAAGCAAAAATCACATGTTTCATGATAGGAATAAGCATATAGACATTAAGTATCATTTTATCAGAGATATTATATCAAAAGAATTATGAAAATTGGTAAAATTCCCACTCAGATCAATCCCTCAGATATGGGAACTAAGATAACACATTTAAACAAGTTTCTTAACTATTTGAAGTTGTTATCTATTGATACTATGTGATATCATACAGGTACTTAGAGTAAATGAAAAATAATTGGTGATGCTTGCTCGCTCTTGGTTGCACTTGTTAACCCGATTTTTTGTAGCAAGATGGAGATTGTTGAGGCTCGAACCTGTGATCTATGATCTGCTCCCAAAATTGGCTTAAAATCGTGTTTCAGCTGGATGCATTTTTCTTAATGGTGCACTTATTATGAGATGGTGACACGTGGGTGGATTCTGGCCCTTGGATTGTTGCCTTGGTGATGTGTGATATAAATACTGCATGGTGGAAGATATTTTTCATTCTTTCTGTCTTTTGAGTTCTTCGTTCCTTCTGAGTTCTTCTGAGAGTCCCTTTTCTGTAGATTAGGGTTTGAGTCCTTCGTGTTTTTCATCTCTCATGATGAACTTGTAATACTGAGATCATACTTATTGATTAGCCTCTCTAATCTCTTATTTGGAGCGATTGCCGTGAGATTGGAGTTTTCTTGTAATCACGGTTTCAGTTGGCTGTTTGTGGGGTTTCTTTGTGATTCCCTTTAGATCTGCAGTTATGTTGAAAGAGATAAGTGTCTTGTGCC